TGTTTATCAATTATCGTGATTGGGTTTTTCAATTTGTGTTCTGTTTACTCCGTTCCCTTCCGTTCTCTAATAGATGATGTTGAGTTAGCCTATAGCCAATGTTGCACAATATATTCCGCAAGTTCAGCGTCCAAGCATTTATTTCTGCAACATTTGTCATAAAGTGTAACTCCTTTATAAGCCTTATATAGGCAATTGAGCTAGGCGAAGGTCCATATAGGTATCTTTTGCTCTGCGTAATTTCGGGTGTTACCATTCTGTCATTCATGAGTGGTTCTATAAATTGAGATTAAAGAACAAAATAAGAATTCATTTACTCAATCGTGATGCATAATAAATAATATCGCAATTCGAAATGCGTTAAAATCGTTTCAGCGCACAATTTTTTCACGAATTTTCATGCACGAATCTCTTTTCTGCTAAGTAGAAATATTTTCACCTACTGAAATCCCGCTGCCGGAACGTAAGCGTAATAGAAAACAGGCTTTAATCTTTTTTCCACCGTGGTCCGTGTTGTATATGTTTAATCATTTTACGCCCATCAACGTTTTACTCATACTTTGCCACGTTTACAACTAAACTGCGGGAGTTTTTCAACCGACGTTCTTAAATATAATCGTTCAACCTAAACTCTGCATTGTAAGAACAATTGAGGCGAAGTCCCAAATGTATCTTTTCCTATACACGGCTAAAAACTGTGAGCCAACAATGTTGTGCATGTTGCCATTATTGTTCACATGCACTTGTCAACAACATTGAACAATATTGTTGAAACTGAATCGGGTGTAAGTTGTGTTACAATATTGTTCAATGTTGAAAATAAATCTGCATGAACAATGTGGGCAGCACAACAATGATCCATCCTGTTCATACCAATATTGCATCAACCTGATCGTTTTTAGGCGTGTATCGCGTCATTTTGTGAGGACTACACAAAATGACTACGTCTCCTTTTGTAAAACTAACAGACTTGTAGTTGATAAGGTATTTTTCATAGCAATTTTATAGCTACAAATTTCTATTGCCATATGGTGATAATTAGCTAAGATCCGTTGTTGCGGATCCGTTGTCTCACATAAATTGCCATAGCTTAATTTAGGCTGTAAATTTTCACAATATTATTAAACTATTTATCTACCTATCTATGGTTTTCCCACGATGAATGCCGTTAAAAATAAGGACATTTATATTTTTACGAGGCTTGAAAAATATTACTCCACTTGTTTACCTCGTTTAATTCACACAAAAAGGACGGACGGAAGATAATTTCAGACAAAACATTTCAAAGACAACGCAAGGCATGAAAATTTTGAAACCATGCTTAATATGTTATTTTACTAGATTTTTAATTGAAACTACCTAATTTTGTTAACGCCAGTAACTTGGTGAATCGGGGATTTAAACAATAAGACAATATGTTGTTATACGAATACTTACGTTCATTATAGTAGTTTGATTCGATAGATCTTTTTCCAAAAAGCAAATTGGGGTTTCGCTAGAAAAATGAATATCCCCCGCGGACGCTTCTTGCTCGTCTTACTAAACTGTAACCATATATTTTTTTATCACCACAAAGCTGTCCATAGACGTTATAGAAGGCCTTTCTCGCTTTATCTAAGATCGGCACACGTATACGCGGAAAGCGAACACGTGGTACACGTACACGCGGTACACGTACACGCGGACCCCATGCTTCAATCTCAAAGGCTAATACAGCAACCAATAAAACCAAACAGAATATCTTTATCATTTTGGTCAATCTAAACAAAAATTAATTCAACGCAAACTGATGTTGTTATTCTTTGTTAAAATATTTGCTTAAGGTTATTATGGCGTTCTAACCTGCGTGCATGCTGCTTACACCAAATCATCAACAGAATCCAACCCTGTATGCATCTATTGTGAGTCGTTGATTTCATAAGTATCACTTAAATGATTTGAAACCTTTACGTGCGTATACCTACATACAAAAAACGCGACAGTGGAAAACAGCCCTTAGTAATTAAAAGATTAATGAGCATATTACTGCACCGTTCCACTTAGGTAAAAGATCCTAGATTGATTACTGCATATAAAAACAGAGTTAACAGAATACACCCTGGAGATTATATAACAGTACAACACATGCCTTTATTCAGTGAAAGTATGTAAATGGTGATATCTTCAAACAGCACTGAGTTCCATGAGTGCACTTTGCTAACACTTTACCATTGTATAAACCAAACAGATTCACTATCTGAATTGGCTCACTCATATCATGGTTCTAAGTATGGCTAGAAGCTAATATAATAACTGGCCTATTGCCTATTCAGTCGGGTGACAGAAAAATATACAACTACTCTAAAATTTGTCAAGTATGCCGGCATCTTTGATAAAAATTAATAATTTCACTTTGCGATTCAACTGAATATGAATTAAACGCAAATTTGATTATAGGTTTGTTTTCATATAACTTAATCGGTACGTACCTGTTTGTTAATCACGCAGTCGCGAATAATACGGTCGGTGAATATAATATAAATATGCCCCTGCCCAATTATCGTTTTTCCTACACGACGCAAGCATAGAGAAAGTTTTAGCGACACCATCGTCCAATAATTTGAAGCTAATCATTTAGTATATAGTTTTATGGATGACCATGTGGACGACGTAGCTGCCTGTATAGCTGTAGTTCATTTTCGAGTTAGTATAGTGTACGGAATCATTGGAAGAGAAATGCAACTGAACTATTTACTAAAGTGAACCTTTACGTAGTATGTTCAACTTGAAATCAAAGTTATGTGAGGAGGTAGATAAAAAAAGGAAAACAGAGGGGAGCGGGGAGCAGGGTTGGCTTTGTGTAAAAGAGACATGAAGATAAGAAAAAGGGTAAAAGTGGTGTGTATTTATAGGAGAAGCATAAAGAATCAAACCTGTGTGGAAATGTATTCGTAAAAGGTAAAATAGTAAAATTAAACTGTGTGTCTTACCAAAGTTGTTGTAGAACTTGGATAAACCAACGCGATGAGCCATCTTTAGTTAGAGTTGTTATGTGAAATTCACATAACAACTCTAACTAAAGATGGCTCATCGCGTTGGTTTATCCAAGTTCTACAATTGTGAAACGAGTGGAATTTAATCAGTAATCGGCTTGGATATGCTTAAGAGCAGAGCTTGTGTTCGTTCAAGAAGTTTGATCGAAAAGGGGTGAGGGATTGCCGTGTGTGCATAAAATGCGTTAGTACTACGTTACTGGGGTCAGGTGTCAAAGTCTATCTTGGGGATAGTGGGGGTTTACGTGTCAGTTATAATGGTTGTGTTGTCAAAAGTCAACCATTAAAATTTCATCAAGTTAGCTTTATTACTTTTTGAGTTATCATGCACCAAAGTAAGGGTAATGAAAATTTTAGTTTGCTAAGAAAAGCGACGAAAAAAGTTTTGCATATATTCATAAATTATAGAGAACAATGAAACAATAGAATAGGTCAATCGACCCTTTTGTTTGCTCGGGGCAAAACCCTAATTAATAAAACTTTTTGTTTAATTCTCGCGTTCTTTGTGTATTTTTTGGAAAAACAATATTCAGGATCGCTTAGGGGTACATTTAGGTTTGCATCCCTTGAAATTTTAAAAACAGGATAAGTCATAATTTTTTTGTAGTTGACCACATTAAGGCAACTTTGACCCTTAATTATTCAGGATCGTCCTGTTAAAACAGTAAGCCCGTTTTTGAGGAATCACCCTCTAAAGGCTAGTTTCCACTCAGGAAAATTCTCCTTTGGATCGGACAGGACAGGAAAGTTTCCTTTGTATAAACGCCGCCTGAGAACTCACCGACAAAGGAAATTTTCCTGTCCGTTCCGATCCAAAGGGCAAAGGAGATTTTTCCTGAGTGGAAACTAGCCTTAAGGAATTACATTTAGTCGCGACCGGAGCTTTTAAACAACATTTAAAAAGTTTCGTGGATAATTGTTCCCTCTCAACACATTGAGGACATAATCACTCTCGTTGTCCCTGGCAACGCGATTAAATGTTAACGATTCAGCTCCGTCTTTGAAACAAGTTTTTGCAACAGACTTTTTATGACTTTTTGGTGATGCAAGTAGGATAGATATTTGTCCGTATGTCTAGGTTTACTGAAAAGATCAGTTTCTAACTGCTCTTCGAAATTTCTACGAAAACAGGTATATAGGTTCCCCTCACTCGCGCGCTGTGAACAAATTTAGCGTTACGAACTAGCATTGGCCAATGGCAATATTGTTTTAGCATTTAAATATGCAATTATTTTCCACTCGTGTTTAAAGTGTCTCTATCATGGTAAGGTATTTTAAAAAACTTTGCATTACATATTATTAAAAAAATTGTCTTGATGGATTTATCGGCCTTTAAAATTACCGGACATGACGTCAAATCGATTTGCAATTCCCGATTTCATCAAGACAAATTTCAGTTTAATTACAAAATGTATTGCAAAGTTTTTTTTTAAATATTTACTATTTACTATTGCTATATTTAAAATCTGCAACCATGATATAGGAACACGCCGCAAATGCAATTTCTCGACCATTCTGTGGATATCATGCACATCTCATCTATTTAACAATTAGACAACGAGTCGGAGATGTCTATGAGCGAATAGTCAACGAAGGCGAAGCCTGAGTAGACTATTCGCTCATAGACAACGAAGGCGAGTTGTCTAATTATTTTAGTGTACACCCTGTACCTAGATATATTAATTTCGAGAAAATAATCGATATATACACCGCAATTACACCGAAAAATAATTCAATTTTATACGGTCGCGCGAGCGAAATTTTCCCAAGCATGCACCATCACGAATAGACAATGGTTGAGCAGCCAATCAGATTGTAGGATTTGTAACAGACAATAGTCGCGTGTATACTAAAACGACATATAGCCATTCGTCCCTCTACCCTCCGCTTGAAAAAAATTAACCGAATTGTGAAAATACCGTGGCAAATATTTTATCATAATAAAACCATAACTCGTAAGCATAGTCTTAAATTATAGCCAAAATTCAGGAAAATTAGTATAACAGAACAAAAACGCAACCGTATTCCATATATACCATATACACCATATACATACATACTTTCTACAAATATTTACATCTATATGACTATGCATTTCCAGTTGTTCGAGGCCCGTTAAGTCGTACAGAATACCCTACGTACCAGATAAAACCACATGAAAAGAAGAAAGAATGGAAACAACCACAAAAAGAATACTATCAATGCAATTTGTATAATTTCGCACAATCTGGTTCCAAAATAATAGAAGAGGATTTCGTGTCTCTTACATAAAAACTAAAACATCGAATTAAAACTCATCCCTTTTCCCTTTCCGCTAGATACACAGCTAAAAAATCTGTAAAATTCATCCTGTTTATTGATAAATCAGTATTGCATCAACCTGATCGTTTTTAGGCGTGTAATGAACAAATTAGTATCGGTGTAGACTATATTCCATGCATGGACAACACATTTCACGACATTTAACGGTAACTATACGCGAATGATTTGTGAAAGATACTCCATACAAGTTTAAAATTTTAATCACACATGCACTTCCGTAACCCATTTTAGCATGCTTATAGCATTGTGCTTTCTGTTGTCTTAACTAAGTTCGAACAACTGGTGATATTTTTTGCTGTGGTTCAAAAACTTCGTCAATACAGGTACACATTTTTGACCAACAATTTTTGAGAAAGTAACTTGGATATTTTAAACGGCACATTATAGCACTTAATGTAGCTGTACCGTCTTGGGGCAAAGATATTACAGTTTTTTAATTTATTAATTGTTCTCCGTTCTCCGTTATTTACTCCATAAGTTTTGAAAAAAAATGAGAAGTTAGGACAGTTTGAAAGAGAAAATATTACCCTTACGGAAATATTATGGTTGCGTTGCGCATGCATGCATGGTTAGAAATAGGACCAGAGTGAGTGTCAGTGGTTAAACGCCAAATGAAAATCGTCGTTAGCATAAACAGGTAACCGAAATTGCGGGCCAGAACAACCACAGGCGACGTACAAGTATTTGAACCACAACAAAGGCTCTTATTAATAAAATTCTATCCATTTCCAACAATAATGCTAAAAGAATGTAATACGTTAGCATAAGGTAAAATAATATATCCTAAATGGTAAAGTCATTGTTGAGCATGCTTATCGTATGAGCAGAGAGCTAAAGAGACCACCAGACGCGATTAAAACATAGTCATGAATTCAAAAGTCTGTCTGTCGCCATTAAAATCAATGCGGATTAAAAGTATATGACTAGTTTAGTAACCTAAAGTTACAGGCTAAAATTTTTGTAAAATCTATGATACATGAAATATACGTCATACTATTGTACAGCATCGGCAAACACGCCGCCGACCTCCTCCGACACTCGGCGGCGGCGTGACGGGAGCGAAATAAGCATGGACTCTTAAATTTGGAAGATGATTCTAAAATAAAAAAGATGTTATTAATGCCATGTACAAATTGTTCACTACCACGAGCTAGCACGGACCGTCCCAATTCAAAGATAATCATTCATTTGTTTTCAGTGACCTTTGAATTGGTAGCTGTTTCGAAATGTCGTCAGTTTCGAAATTCCAATTCTCAACAAGAGACGCGAAAATGGATCGGAAATAGACTGAATGTTACTCTTACCTTAAGCCTACGGATTCCACCACGAGTAATTAACTGACAATCATAAAGCTCTATCCTTTTCAATGATCTACAGTCCCTGTATTGATAGAAAAATAGTGAAGTGTTGTATATACATTGGGAAATTGAAATAGAATTAAAGTGTCACCTTCAAACTCACAACAGGTACAATGTTTTTGTGCTACACATATTTACTCTTGGTGTCTTTTTCAGTTCGGCAGCATTTTGAACAGAAATGTGTAGAAACTTACTTCAAATGATATAGCGCAGTGTCTGTTATCGATGGACAATTGTCTAATTCCAAAACCTCGAGGTATTCTTCAGCATTGTGTCCCGCACTTAATCTGTGAATACCGTCGTCACTGATTTGTTCACAATGAGACAAACTCTACAATAAGAGATAATTGTAATGTAGAATGTATTAAACATTGATGGAGAAGAGCGAAAAGTATCAACATACGATCATTATTATCAAGCTGGCAACGTAATATTTTGGGCTCATTTTCCAAATTTGCCTTGTAACCAGGCCTGATTCAAGATGGCGGCAACGTGTGGTGTGTATATAACCATATAGTTCAACAAAAACTAACACACTAAAAAATAAACTTGCCCCACACATAAACCCAAAAACTAACTAAATGGTATTGTAAAGGTCCAATTTAGAAAAAATTAGAAAGTTTGTAGAAAAAAGAAATCAAAATAAATGTGCCTTAAAGGGATGTTTTGCAAAAGAAATCAGTCGGGTATAAGATGAATATACACCCCCTCCCAATTAAGCTTTCACTCAATTTAGCAGCCCTTTAATGGGAAAGGTGAAAACTCACGTTGGTATGTGCCGGCTGCTTAAGCGTCTTACTTATGGGGATGGGGGGTTTGCATTTCCACCCTTTGTAAATTTGGTGCATGATATTTTTCAAAAATGTGTTCTTAAATCAAGCATAGAAACGTTCCATGGCGCACCACCATTTCTAGTCATGGGTTACTGTGCACTCTTACCAGTTGACGAAGATTTGAACACCAGGTGGAAAGATTAGTGAGGGTTGCATCTGTAATCTGAAATATACCATAGAATATTATTTAACTTTTTTGTATAAAAAAAATTGCAGGAGACACGTAATGTAACAAAAACGTCATTTAATACAGCATGACGGCGCTGTTTCGTTCTGCAACGTGAAAACGAACGTCTTCTAATTAATCGAATACATTTGAGACCGAAAGCGTTGTAAACAAGACTCAAGAGGTAAAAAGTTTTTTGTTGCGAACACAGCGAACGACTTGTAAACTCCAAAAGAAGCTTTGATTTGTATAATCTCATTATTCATTGCCTCACACTGGCTGAAGTTTCATTTAATATCGCTGGCCCAGGCCAAGGGTGTCCGGTTATATTCACCATCCGAGAAACCAGCGTAAAATGAGTATAGATACCTTCCTTGTGATATTCTTAGAGATATTTCAAGAAAGACTTAACATTTTTTTATAAAAATATAATAAAAATCTTGTGCTGTGGGATCAAAAAAAGAGAGCTTACCAATACGCATTCCTCTAAATCCATTTTTTCTAAATTATGACAGCCCTATATTAAACAAAACGATCACGCCCAAATTTACAACAGATTACAGTTGATTTGACTTTATTGCATTTATACACCCTGCCACATATGCATGATTACTATTCCTGTACTGCAAACTTTGGAGGGATTGTTTTCCCAATTGTGCACCTGTTTCGCTTGGGGAACAACGGATTCTGATAAAGTAAATTTTTATCTATTGATTCATGTGAAAATTATGTAGTTCCACGAGAGGTGCAACGGAATCCGTTTTCTAAGCATCTTTTGGATGCTCATCCCACGGCCTACTGCAGGTGGCCGTGAAGATTACCTACATGTATACATAGTATAGCTACGTTGTGTGGCGATTGTACTAAGCTTTAATATTAATATAGATTTTTAATATTTTTAATATAGATTTTTAATATTTTTAATATAGATTTTTTCTTACCTTCGCTAATTTACTAAAGCCAGCATCAGTCAATTGCAAACACTGCGCTACTTCTATAGTCCTAAAATGTCAGAAATACTCGTATTTTATATAGAAAAAAAGAATTGAAGTGGTACACAAATGATAACAGATTGTTGCCGATTTAAAACTCTAGGGAATAACTCAGGTCGCGCAATATCAAACCCACATTTCCGAATTTTCCTGCGACTCGTCACACAAGATTGAATTATTAAGTTTCTTTCAATATGCAAAAGTTACAAACACAAAATTGTGGTTTGACATCACTGTTTCATGAGTGAACATAAAAAGGCCGTTTCTAACTTATAGTTGGAACCTGTGGTAGAACCAGTGTGTCAAAGACCATTCCATTAACAATATATATGATCGTTATGGACAAAGGCGTTGCTTGAAAGCCTGGCATATTAATGCAAATCATCATTGGTAGGTAACGTCATGCATGTTGAGAGATTATACGGATCAATGTTTCAACATCAGAGTGATCAGACCACCCGCGATGGAACCGCCGTGAACTTATTAACTTGAATAGTTCAATTGGTTATATAAAATTAGCTATTCACCAATACTTGAATGTTATCTATATGATAAAGTTCTTTCGACATGTTTGCAACTCCCGCAAGCCTTCAAAATATACGTATATCAAACTTCACTCAACATACCTAAGATGTGGACATCCTTCGCCGAGCGCCTGTAAAGAAGCGTCCGTAAGATGAAGGCATCCTGACACACACAAAAACTGAAGATCTGAACAATTTTCACCAACAGCTTTTATCGCCACATCTGTTAGTAACTATATAATCAATAACATCCAGAAATAGGGTAAGTCATCCTCCTCCTCAATTTTCACTCTCCTCAGTTGACCTCACGTAAAAAATATGCATGCCATTGTATGCGAATGTGGACGCGGTCGCAGATAGAAGCTTGATTATTGTACATTATTTCAAACGGTAGCCCTTCAGCAAACACTCTTTTTTAAAGCGCTTTTACATTAAATTAATTAAATATACGTAATCGATTACTATGCATTTGGTGATTTTCATTGTCACGTAATTAAAACATGTTAAGCCCCAGGGCGCTTATATATACATTTGAGCGCCCTGTTAAGCCCGTTTTCCACTAGGCGAATTTATTCGCGCGACGCAAAGCCATATAACGAATCGCGAAGCGAAAAACCTGGAATGTCATACTAAAGTGTCTCTTTTTTAAAGGGTAAACTTTTTTGGAGGATCCCATCTAAAGATAGGAGGGTGCAGTGCAAAATCTCACCTCGCAACTGTGTAAATTAAGTGTCTGTAGATTTCTACAATTTCTGGCTAAGTGCTGAACGCCTTCGTCTTGGATCTGTGTTGAAAAAAATCTTGGTTCACTTTACAGCCAAAGCGATGCGAGAAAAAATTAGAGCGTATCACATGATTATATGAGGATTATATTAATTAGGACAAGGACAAGATGTCCATAAAAAGTTGGAAGCGAAATATACTAAACAATATATTTTGAAACATTTTGAAAATCCGCTTCAGAAAGCGCCTAAATGTACTTCATTGGTTTTAGGAATCGAGATTGTAACTTCTCATTAACTTGAAAACTGATAATATTTACTGGTTACAAAATGAATAGCGCGTTTTACTATACGCACTATCCCAGCGTGCATGGTCATACAAGTGCCTATATTGAGTGTAAGTCTGACTTACTAAAGTACATCCTTTTGCAATAAAACTTTGTATATGTGAACATTCCTCTGATAAAATTCTAACACCATTTTGCGTAAGTTGGCCACACCATGAGACATTAATATGTTCTATTTTCTCGCATCCTTGACTAGAAATAAACAAAGAGTTTATTACTGCAATCATGCACACATATATAAGGACTATCACTCTCACACCACAAAAACTACACATGCACGGGTTCGTCCGGAGTCAACCTATGCATTAGGTTTGTTTTCCACGCTGCGAAATTTTTCATTGTCTGCGCGCTTTCATGCAGAACTAATATGAGAAAAACAAAAAGAAATTCCACTCCACGCGCAAATATATTGTAATTGTAAAAATTTCCTGCGAGGGACCGGCTGTATAAAACTTATTAACTACATTTTGCATAGTTAAATCCCAGTAAACTAAAAAATACACAACTCTGATTGGCCAATTCTGTCTTAACTACAGTTAAAAGTTAACTATAGTCTTTTATATAACTGGGGCCATATCAACAGGTCTGATTTCGACACAGTGGTTGGAAAGCTCCACGAAAGAAAAACAATGATACAACGGTGGTATTGAATATTGAATATTGAAACTTGAAATTGCAAAAAAAATCACATTCCACAAGTGGAACAGCGAATTCGTCATAGTTTTCCATGGGCCATGGCGAAAATAAATAAGTTGTATTTTATGAATAATAATACCTTGGGAGAACTCTCAAGCTGAGAAGAAGACGATGCAGTGAGGGACAGGCAACCACACCAAAATACTTAACGTCAAATTGCGGGGAAAAAATTGGGAGGAAAGGTCAACCCTATATCGTCGTTTTTTACCAACCTTAAAGCGATGCAACCGTTATCTGTTATTTGAGGACAAGAAGACAAATCCAATACTCTCAGATTTCTACAATAGTTACTAAGGTTGAAACACGTACTAGAGAAAATAGCAAGTGACATTAATGAGTTATTATTGTATTTACGCTCTCGGGCTGGATTTCCACTGCAGAGAATGGTTCGCTATAGGGAAAATATATTAGCATATATTTTTCGACATAGGAAAAATATTTTTTATCTTTTCACAAAGAATAGCGTACCGTACAATTACCTATCTGATATCTTTTTGCATCCTTCGAGAATTAATTCCTCGATATTTCTACACTCGCAGGAAAATGTTCTAAAAACAGCAATAAAGATGTTCTAAAACAGTAATAAAGGAATGTTCTTAATTAAACAGCCATAAAAATATTCTAAAACAAGAATGAAGGAATGTTCTAAAAACGCAGCAAAAAGTTCCAAAATATTAATAAAAAATGAAAGTCGAGTGAAATTTAAGTTACAGCCAATTCTATGATAGATTGTCTATAACAGATAAAGCAAAGTGTACCGTAATGCTCCATCACCAACACTCTGACACCCCTTAAGCCCTAATCTTTTTAGGAATCCTCCACATCGCCGCGACAAGTTCTGGATTACAGTCTCCTATAATGAATAGAAAACATCAGTGGATTTAAACGATCCTATATTTTCTAGTACTAACGACTACGGTTATAAAAGATACGAAAATCAAGTCGTATTCAAGATCATCATGTTGAAAAATAAAGTCTTTAAAGTATATTCAATACCTGTTTTTCGTTACGTTATCAAAAATGTTCATATAGCGAGTATCTGATTTGACTACACCCCAACCCTTCCCCCTCTTTCTAGGCTCTTTTCTGACTCAATAGCCTCTGACTGACAGCTTTTGCTGCACGAGAGCTATACACATGACGGTTATATCAACTTTACTCATGACTTTTAACTCCAATAGTGCAAGAAATATGGGAAAATATCCGACACGAAAACGAGTCATTGGGTCAAAAGCAAATAAACAGAAAGGAAGGTCTTTTGACAGATGAGAAGCAAGAAGTTCGAACAGGGCATTTGACAAGCACAAATACGTCAAAGGCTCTACCTTGCATGACCATAAATACACTGACCGTTTCCATTAAGAATTATCCGCAGAAATACGTAAATCTTGCATGGAGTGTCTTTTTCGTCAAACAAGAAGATCGGTTATTACGCATAATTTATATATATACGGTATATAATACTGCATTAGTGTATTACAGAAAATAAACTTTTATTAGATCTGAATCAACCTAGGAGATATGAAATATTAAATTTATAATCTATTATGAATTTAAAACTTCTATTAGCCACTTTAAAATGCTACCTTTTAGTACTGCTAGTGCTAGCTATATAGCAGGCGTTTCGTATCATATCTCCTAATAATTATATCTCCCAAAATAACGCATCCAAAGTAATGAAGCAATCAATTTTTCGAAAATAAACCATAAAATTACTAGTCTATAGACACAAAAAATTTAGAGCTGCCTGTCTAAGACAGAGTTACATACAGAATAGCATTAGGGAATAACGGTATGAATTATGAAAACTGAATTCGCAATTAAAGACGTGTAAACATTAATTCACGAAAGTTTTGGCAATTTTTAACAACTTTATTATTAACAACTTACACTGATATCTCGTTGAAATTCAAATAGGTCAACTCTCTGCCAGTTACTACCATCCAATGCTAAAACATTCCATAACTAAACAGAATATAAATAACGATTTAGATAGAGAAGAATATGTAGAACTATTTGAAACTATTCGAATAAATTCGCTTAGTGGAAAACGGGCTTTAGTTGCTTCAGACGCGATGAAAAACCGACATCTAAAATCCCGTTTACACTACACTCAATTTATCGGTACGGCAAGGCTAAAATTGGTACCCGTACCCAATTTTATTAGTGTCCAGGTTACCAAAACAAAGGCCGAGCACAGATGAAATGGGCAAGGGTACCCATGTTAACCGTGACATGTAAACGGGGCTTTAACCAGGTGTACTTAGGTCAAAAGTGGAGATATTTTTTGTCTATTTTAGGTGGTGGTTAGAACAAAAGCTAAGCTTAACCACAATCGAGCTGGAAATTTATTAGACTGGTATTGGCAATAAAAACAACTTCTTTATATTGTCGATAATGTTGAATGTTCAAGATTAAGTACGAAATATACAATATACTGTACCTACCTTTGATACCTGAGCACATCGGCAGAGAGAAACTACATCGAGAAATGAAAAAACCCTACAACAAATATGACAGAATATAACCAAATTATCCCATGAAAACAGGACTGACGCTAGAAGCTTAATTGGGGGGGGGTGCATATTTATATATTCGTCTTATGCACGACTGATTTCTTTTGTAAGCTATTGTTTCTACGGTTGTACGAACATATAAATATGACAATACACCCCCCCCCCAAATAAGCTTCTAGCGACGGCCCTGTAATAAATTACGCACTTTGCTAAAGCTAATTACTTGCTGATTAAAGCTAATGATGTTAAAGTAGTCTGAAATTGACTGTAATTTAAGTAAACACTCAGACTAGCATTTCAATTTTGTAGTTTTTGCACTATGCACATGCATTTCACTCGACTACTCCATGTCACCTAAGCACGTATATGTATAATAATTTTCTGATTGATAGCTACACGATGTTGATGTATTTTTTGCTAACATGCTAACTTTTTTTTGACGAATTTCCGACGAAATCTTCTTTTATCCGAAAGCAAAAAAAGAATTTCGTTCTCTAGTGAGTAAATGCATAACATTTTATCTAACAATTCAGCACGCGTAACAAATGATCAGGTTGTTCCTGATTGATGAAAACAGGAGTGGACCAGGGGCGAAACTAGCGTGATATGAATTTCTTTTGAAAACACGTATATGTGTACCAAAGAAATCCGTCTGGCAGATTTCTTTGAATAAAATAAATATATGAATATTCGACCCCAATTATCGCGCTAGTTTCGCCACTGGACTGAACACTTGTTTGTATCTGATGAACATGTTCGTTATTAAGTTGTAGCAATTTTTTTTAAAGCTATGTCCATTCTGTGCAGTACAACATTGTTCAATCTTGTTTTCACCCACTGGGAACTTTTTTTGCCGTAATAATTAACATATTCTATATAAAATTATACTTTTCCTAAATTTTATATTCAGATAGTATATACAATAAAATTGTAGTTAAAAAACAGTTTTCATAAATCCAATTATTTAATAAAAAAGTCATGTAAGCAAGACTTGCCTTAATACCAGTTCACCCGGAAGCTTCCTGTTGATTAATCCTATTGAATCATCATCAGGGTTTCTGTTTACTTGTAACTAAAAAATAAAAATACATAAAAGATTAATACTATGCAGTTGAAAATGCTATAGCCTCATAATATATATTCATATTCATATTATTATTATTATTATTTAAAATCTTAAAATTACAATGATTTTTCGCTACTCAGAGTTTCACGATCTTTAACGATCGATCATCAGGCGATTATGTCCGTTTAATTCTCTTGCTTGATTTCGTGATTTTCAATTGATCTTGTTGCACGCGCGCATGATATATATATATATATATTTCTATTTATATATTTTACAAAACAAGTATAAATATAAAATATTAGCAATTTATGTAGAATTATGAGAACATGAAGAAGTATTTTTGTATGCATAATTGAAGTTTGATGCAGTGGCTGCATTTATTGACCAGTTGGAATATTGCAGGGGTTATTCACACAAAATTTAATTTGGTAATTTAATTATTAAATGCACCTATCATTACGGAACCCAAAAGAAGACATTGTGATAACAAACATTTCAATAATTCTATGAAAAACCTCAAATCCTCTCTAAAAAAGAACCTAAGTAAAAAAGTCCAAAGATTCTAGTATTTTTGAACTGATGGCAAAGAAGTCTCTAAATTTTACCAATTACAGGACATGCGATGATTGCAAAGGCACCTTTGACCTTTGCCTAACCCAACATTGGTTGTCAGTTATATTAGATGAGTTGAACTTAACCAATCCTAGCAATTAGCTCCTAAATTTTACATGCCCTTTTTGACATGCAGATTTTTCCCACACATGAAGAATATGTTAGACAGGTATCTGCAGGTACAAGACAGCAATTCATCTCGTCTGTAAAAACTGTCATAAATGTAAACATAGCTAATCATATCTCACATTTTAAATAATTTGTAATACATTTTCATAACATTGAACCGAAATTTCAATTACATTTGGATTACAATGCTATGAACATTTAAAAATTTGTTACTGACTTAGCTACCTGAGGTAGATGCATGTATTAAAGACACTCCTTATAACATGTTCAAATATGAGCTAACAAGATTATAATCTTGAATCAATATCTGTTCCTGGTCTACAAGATTATGAAACACCCTTCAGGTTATTTTAGCCTGGCTATGCTGGAAATGTATGCATAAAGGGCAAACATACTGTAGAATAGGGATGTTTGTAAAGTTTTCTACACACAAGGAACACTCGCAGATGTACACCAACATGTCATACAATCAGAGTCAAGGATATACTCGAACATTATGCATATGCAAAATTTTCCTTATAATGAATTGAAAAATCACCTGGTATTCACATGGGGTTTTCCTTCTTTTCAGTATTTTATAATCTAATATAAATTTGATACAATGTAAAACATATATTAAATGGTCTAAGCCCCTCTCATTATAATAGATAATGTACTGCTTGTATAAATACTGTAGTTTACTTTATATCAAATCGAACTAGTTCTTGTGTTACATGATATCTAAATTTGGATAAGGAAGCAAAATACATTAATACCTTTTGGGTGTTACGTATACGTGAATAGCTTGAAGTAGAACAATGTCGTTTCACTGAGAACTGTTGTCTTTTACTGAAGCCTGTGCTTCTCATTCCGAAATGAAAACACGAACCGGGCAATGAGGCACATTTACACATTAATTGTTTAGGTTTCACATAACCACAACAAAGCAGGTAACCGCACGACTTTCATACAGTAGTGTAGTTTCTCTAGAACCCTCATTGGAATTCGCTTACATTTATTCGAAATTTTCAAACAATAATTGTTCTTTTTTCATTACTAATACACCTATATAAAAATGTTGTCCTCAATGAACATCTAGGCACTTGAACTCGTGGAATTTTTACCCACAACAAAACGAAGGGTAAGAAGCTTAGCGAAGTTTACCCGTTGTCAACGGACATGATCGGATGTTCTAGCCTTCGCAGATACTCGACAGAATTGTGAATTATGTGCTGGGTAACTAACCCAACTTTCTGTTGTGTGTTAGTGCCTTTCCACGTAACCTTGTCATACGTTTGTGAGGTATATCTGAAGGATAACAGTCTGAAAACATTTTTGTGTTGACAAAAATAGATCCCCAATAGCGGGCAAAAACATTGCACAGAGGCAAAAATCGCGCGCACACTCACCTCAAATCGACTTCTTGAACTGCTTCGGCTGTGATTGCTATGTGACAGGCTGTTGTGATTAGAAAACATCAATTTCTTTTTTGCCAAATAGTCACGATCTATACTTATGGAACGATGCTTTTCCAAAATAAACGCAATGCTGTTGTTTTTATTCTGACACCACGTGACCGCTGTAAAGGTCCACTCGGAACACAGTCGGCATAACTTCGTTAAAACCTGCGCGCAGGTGTTCGAAAAATTGGGAAATCGGGCAACATTTTCGGAATGCACGACAAACTATGCATTACCGTATTTACTCGTTTGAGCGCCGCGGCGCTCTTTAAATTTTTAGAACTTCAGATGCGGCGCTCACTCGGGGCGGCGCTCAATCGGGGGCGGCGCTCAATCGAGTAAATACGGTATTCTTGGAAGGACGGAATGAGTGGTGGTATTAAGTTTTATTAAGTGGTATTAATATCAAGTTTTTATTTTGACAGATTATCAAGTTCGTTTTCCACTTAGAGGGCACGGAGTACTCCCAGCAGATGTTTTTTATTTGGGGCGGGTACAATATATTTGACAGTATACTGAATCTTCGGGTATAGTAGAAAATGCGGGTGTGGTTAGGCGGATGCGGAGAGATTCGTGCGGGTAATGGTAGAAAACGCGGGTAAATTCGTGCGGATAATGGTAGAAAACGCAAATTCGTGCGGATAATGGTAGAAAACGCGGGTAAATTCGTGCGGCTAATTGTAGCAAATGCGAGTAAATTCTAACGGATTGTCTCATTAATGCAAAGTATATCGAATGGTAAGTTTAATATAAATATATCAAGTTCTTCAATGTGTTTTATTAAACTGGTTATCATGATCACCTGTTCGATTGGATGGTCCCGTGTGATCTCTATTGATATTAACACTATTAACTTTGCCCAGTCAATTATTAATTAAATTGCGTTTAATATTTTTAGCAAGAATTGATGTCCCATATTTATTCCAGTAGTGACCATAATTATTCAGGTGGGACTTATCTATATTCTTATTACTAATAGATCGCCATTTTCATTCGAAGCATAATTTGGCCTTTGTAGAGATTTGTAGAGAGTTGCCTTTCTAGTAGCCTTTAATCATCAACTCTGGTGGCTTTTTTCTGAGAATGTTACTTTTGGGCCCTTGCTCTGTTGTTTTATGGATTCCCCAAGTTTTGCTGCGGAATTAATTACGGCTTCTGGAGTATTAGCTTTCATATCATTAGTGCCAATGTGCAGGATTATCTCATCCGGGGTAGTAGACAAAGTTAGTTTGGCTAAGTGAGATATATCAGCTATTGTAGCACCTGGAAATGTCTTTACTACAATCTTTGGTTTTACCCCGCTCTGGAGCTGTCTAGGGTTGATATGCTTAATCATTGAGTCACCGAGGACAGTCACTCTTGAGCGTGTTGTAACTCTTGCGTATTCGTGTCAACTTCAGATACTTCAGATAATATTGCACACTGGTAGCGCTTGTTTCTAAGGATTTACGAACTTCTGTTTGTGGGGATGAAGGTTTGCTTCTGATATTCTGCTTTGACGGTTGCCATGTAGCTGGGACCTCCTTCTCAACTTCTCAATTATTAAAATAGGACCAAACTAAATCTAAATTCAATCGAACAGCATCAAAAGAACGGTTTATTTGTTCCTCTTGGAGGAATTGCCGTATCATTCGAAAGAAATCCAAACGCGCATCGGAAAATTAGTCAGAGATTTCGAGCTGTGCACCACACTCTTGGGAGACAAAACTGTGACGTAGGTAAATACGGTCACATACACCTTTCAAATACTAGTTTATTTTGCGCCAAAACACCCTTGCGACGACGAAAAATAATAAAAAAACAAAACAAAAACAAAACAAAACCTGGGCGAATTTTCAACTACGTTGCTCACGCCGGAGTAATAACCGCTTAAGCTTAGCGATTTTGGAGGGTGGGCAATAAATATGATCATTTTAAATCCCGGTTCTTTTTAATCTGTTTAACTTCACACAAAATCAATAATAATATGTTCCTATTATATAAATCTACTATATGTTCTCGCCGTTGACTTATTTTTCTTACAGGGACGTCTCAAACTCCTATGTCCAATTTTCGCTTTGATTTGACCAAATGATACTCAAAAGAACGGGAAATTATTTATTTTTGGGAATGTTTTTTTAAGCGGATGACGAATAACCTAAGAAATACTTCACAAGCCATGTTCTTGGATTTTGTTACATTCCGTTACGCCAAGGGCTCACGAAATTTAGCAAAGTGTAAGTAATTGCATGAACAAAGACATGCCGTCGCATGCGAAAACAACAGCTTCAGGTTTCGATCTGTTTAATAAACATCAAACATGGCTTCGTATTTCAGTGCCGGATAGATTTTGTTATAAGAGAGTTTAAGCTTCACATTATACACGAAACGACAAACAGCAAGGAAAGAAAAAGTTTAGGCTATTAGGCTAAAGGACAATAAAGGACAAAATAACTGAGATGTTTTAAAACTCCAGACAAAATAAATGTTGTCACATAAGAATGAAAATATGAAACAAAAGAGATGGATGGAAAATACTGCCAAGCAATATCGGCCTTGCTGTTTCCCGGAAACGCAAAGCTTTAATTCCCTATTTTTCTCGTTTTCCGTGAACACGATTCAGTTTCACAAACACTCACTTGCCCACTTTAAACATCTGCAATATTTGCAGTTATGTAATTAGGTTTGCATGGTGAACAATGCTAATGTTAGGTGGAAAAAACTACGATTGTTTCCAACTTTTGTCTTCGATGAGTGGATTGATAATAAAAGTTAGTACGACAGTTAGTGCAATAAGGGTAAGTATCGTTTCACCGAAAATCATTTCGGGTACGCTTCATAAAAAATGACTTTAAAATAAATGATTCAGTTAATAAATTAGTAAACAAATGTAAAGAGTTCACAGTTTCTTGTCAAGATATGCCTCTTTTGTGCGAAAAGTCTGTAAAATAACAAGAATTTACTCGCGTTTTCTACCATTATCCGCAAGAATGTATCCGCATCCGCCTATCCGCACCCGCGTTTTCTACCATACCCAATCTTCGTGCATTGGCCTAAATCTACTCACACGATTGGTCAAAATCAATCACGTGGTTTCTTGTTGCCTGGCGACAAATCATGGGAATCATAAATCATAATTTATTCGCAATAGCAAGGCAATAAGCCATGAAAATCGTGGTTTATTCGAAATAAGCCATGAAAATCATTATTTATATTTTATAACACTCACCACAGTCCCTTAAATATTATATTCACCCTGCAAATGTTTTAACAATTAGTCATCCCAATGTAAAAGTGGCATGGCGTGTTTAAAAAGAGTATTGTTGGACTTTTTGGACCGCAGGCACAACAACCCTTTAAATTTCAATAACACAAACCCATCAATTGAGTCTTTATGGATTTCTGTTAGGCCTACTTATCTTCCAAGAACGATTTGCTTTCCTTCTTGCGGTCATCTACCACATTCCTGCGTCTTCTGCTCTCGAAAACATGGAATTATACAACCATATTCAAGTAAACGTCGATAATTTTCTTGCTAATCACCCTGAGGCTTTAGTTATGGTAACAGGAGATTTTAATCCGACTTGTACAGGTTTCAACAAAAAGCATATACTGACTTAACATCCCTCCGGCACAGTTGCCATGTATGGGCTCTAGTGACCACAATCCAATTTTGTTGAAAACTCACTTACATCGTGATCAAAAACCTAATAATAATCATGTTTTAAAACAAGGTTTAACTGATAGTTGGGTATAAGATACTTTGGGCAGTGGATCACGAGTTTCGACTGCGACCTGAGGTATAAGAAGTTCAATGAAACATTAACTGAGAAGATCGATTTCTTTTTTCCACCTAAATTTAAACGAGACAGGAAATGTGATAAACCCTGGATGTCATCTGCCTGGAAACTTTCTATAAAGAAACGCCAACGTGCCTTAATTACATAAGTATGTCATCCCAGCCTACAAATTTTGGCGTGATAAAGTTCAATCAGAAATTAAAACGGCATGTGCTAAATTCTACCACCACAAGAACGTGAACGGCCGAACTTGAACTGAAGTTATTTTTTAAAAAAATTATTAAGATGCTATTCTTATTATCAAAAATTTATATTTCTGCTTGTTACGACTGGACTGCTAGCTTATACTGCTAGTATATTTATAAATTCTTACCTAAATTTATATCATATTTCAATCAACTTTTAATATTACTCACTTCGAAATCCGAATTACGAGCTAGTTATTTTCGGTCAGCAAGTTTACGCATGAGAGCAAGGACCTATATGACGTGAGCAACGCTGGTCTCATTCAGCTCCTGATTAAATAGGTCGCGCGCTCAGTCCATCTGGTATAGGTCAGTGGTGTTAACGCCTTTGTTCATGCTTAATCGTTTTGGGGGAAGAGCAAAATCGCGTGACTAACGCAGGAGTGTGAGTGAGACTTTTTTAAATCACACTGACTATTGATACCAGAGTCTAGTGTGTGTTGCGTCTGAAAGGCAGTGGCGTAGCGAGCCTGGCGATTTTGGCCCGCTATATGTAAATTTCGAGTTCATTATAATTATTTATGTCTTTAGAAATTCATTCTTCCACAGTCAACATTATTCCGACAACCTAAGATCCTCCCCTGACTGTTTATATATAGTGGTGTTTGAGTAAAACTCGAAGATAAGAAACACCTTCTTAAACATCTTATTAACAGTAGGCTACTTATCGCATATATCGTCGTCGTCTCAGAGGCTTAACGGAACCGCTGAGCATCTGCTCATATGGCTCATGTGAGCAATCAAAACTCCATCAGAGTAACCTGAGCAACTCAAGAGCACTTGCTCAATTCAGGCTCACTTAGTTCCAAATAGACGACGCAGTGGCGTAACTTAGGAGTGACAGGGTGTCAAGTGACGGAGTCCCCCGAGCTCTAGGGTGGGGAATAAAAATTGTTCATAACACATTTATGAAAAATAAAATTTCTATCAACGGACATATAGGCAGCTTTTTAAGATTTTATGTTACAACTTTGCGAAAAGAAATATAGCCCACGCTGCGTGTCCTGCATGAGAGCATAGGCTTAGGAGTTTCCGTCAACGCCGACAAAATGTATTTGAACATAATTATATTGAAAAAGTATTCACCATATTGACTTGTAATCCTTTGTATTCCGTCGACCGTTATGCATATAGTTTTTGAGGCAATTTAGCATTCGTTGTATGAGCAGTAACACTTTATTATATTGTATGAACAGTAATAATTTATTTCCGCAAAAATAAGTTAATCCTTTATACAGCTGATTTAAAATAGTTTTACTCACATCCCCCCCTCCTTTTCTAGTAATAATATTGGGAATAAGTTGTCCACTGTCAAAATGTTGGTTTATACATAGCATTCTAACATGATTTCTTGTTATTTCCGAGGAGTATTCTTAATCTGCAATGGAACAGTAAGGTTAGCGTTTGTGCGCTAGCCGCCTTCACCCATTTGATATATAGACGAATTATCTAATGATTATTACCATTGAAAAGCAACAGAAAAGATATCGCGCTAGCTGGAGTTAAAGAACAGTAAAGAAAATAAAATTAACAGATTTACAATGAACCCTTCCGAGCTTTTCGACTTTTGCTATAGTTTATTTAATAAAATCCATAACTATTTAGTTCTAGATACAAGGTATGTAGTAAGTAATAAATAAAAAGTGGGCACGAACCGATAGGGAAAGTTTTATATAAACAGATCTATCGGCGTCTTGTGATTTTTGATCGTGTATTTCGTTGATATTGGTTTGTCGGATATGTGATCTAGTTATTGTTTCACAATCGGTACAATGCGGTATGGTGACACTTTCACATCATCATTAGTCTGTCGGTCAGCGGTGAATTCTCTTTCATGGCCTTTCTCTCAGCCAGCAACCCTCTAAAAGATAACAATCACCCTAGATCAATCTTTGCAATCTTATCATTTTACATACAAATTCAACGGAATTGGAGCAATTTAGTTTATAATTTTCAAATTTCACAAAAGCAGTTTTTCAGTTGAGAAATTTAATCCCATGCAAGCAGTCCAGAACTCATGGAGTACCACAAGGTTCGATTTTAAGACCTGCTCTATTTGATATTTATCTGCATGATTTACCCACTGCCCATGAGGGGAGGTTTCGTAGTGCCGGTTGCTGATCTATTTAAGCCTGAATATTTACTTTTCGTCTATTTCTCCCATTTATCTTGTGTAAAGATGATCTCTTTTTAAAACCGAATTAAAATAATTAGAGGTTGATACATGTTTGAGACAAATCGCCAGGTCAGATGTTTAAATATTAATTTCATGTGCTTATATTTTCGTCTTCCTCTGATTATTCTTGCCGCAAAGTTTTGCACTAGTCTTCTATAGAAGTTTTTGCTGAAACAGTTGGTGTAATTTTCTTTTCAAATATCACACGAAAGTCATCCGGCAGTAGCTTTTGTGTCCGAATTACTCTTTCCAGAATTACTCTTGAAAAACACGTTGTTCTTATCTTGGTTAATAAGTAAACTATTCTGACAGCGAATCTATTTTTGACAGAACTTCATTGATCTACCCTATATAGCTGCCTTGTCGCCCAAATTCAAAATAGTAATATGATTCCAATTGATTATACAAAAAGGGCCGCCTATATTCAAACGTACCCTATATAAGCGCTGGTTAGGTTTCAACGTTTCAAAGTAGACGAGCTCGGAAAAGGTTCTTTTCATCTGGAAGTCTAGTCCTAATTCAATCTAAACCTCTTTCTATGCGGTTAAATTCTAAAAATTATAGCCATCGTGGATTTTATAATTATGACCTAGGTTTATGTTTGTATTTATAAAGTACAAAATGCGACCGTACCTTGCAAGACACTGATGAGATTTAAGGGGGGAACGCATAGCTGAGTGAATAAGAAGTTGATGAAATACGTCTCTCTAGAACAACAATATTAAATAATGTGTATAATATAGGGGCGTAATGCGTTCGCCTAATTTAAATTGTAATAACCATTGACATACCTGCCCTAAAAATTTGGGGGTGGGGAGCAGGAGAATGATTTTAGCAAAAATTAGCTGATCGAGTCGCGAGAACAAATTTCCCTAAGTAAAATGGCCGCGAAGATCGTTAAGAGGGTGGGGATGAATATCCATATTTTCAAGTTCAGCATTATTAGTTTGTGTCAAAATTGATTGTTTAATTTGTTTTTACGGTCCGTTAATAACATAAATATATAAATATTTGTCTTTCCCCCTACGTAAAGATTTCCGCGGCCACTGTCGACTTACCCCGAATTTCGGGATAATTCGATATTTAGTGTTACGCCTGATTCCTATTCGGGTATCAGATAGCTGATGTACTACATGCACCATTACTATGCGTGCGCATAAATGTTCTTAATTTCTATAAAGTAGCTAATGTTATGCATGACGTTATCTCCGCGGGGTTTAATAAAAATAGAGAATATGAACAAATTTATCAAAGAATATAAAAACCTACTTGAGCGTTACTCCCACCAATTTTAACGAACTTGTACTTGAGTGGAGCCAGCAATTCAGTGCATTTTGCATAATTTTCCTGAGATTGACAGAAATGTTCACGTTGAATACTGTACGACATTAGCCAGAATTCCCAGAAATTCACGTAATAATCTAAATATACATATAATTGCTTTTTTTGGCCACAGATTAGACACTTACCTGGTCAAAATATTCAAAAGCTTCACACATCTTTAAACCAACTTCTTTCGTCACTTCGCAATTAGTTCCCTGACGTTCCCTACAAAACAATATAGCGCACTACTTTAAAAAACCTGACAGAAACGCAGTATAGGTAAGGTAAGGCGATGATTCGGAAGAGCAAAGAAACTTAACTCCAATATCTCCTAACAGTGTCTCATGCTTCTTGAGAATTAATAGAAAAGACGGGGGCGTGGCAGATCAGAGATAACTGTTTGAACTGATTATACGGTTATCTGGTGCAGTGTCCCATATTTAAAACATCAGTATTTTAAACATACCTTATAAAATCTTTCATCGATTCCATAATCTTTGTTGTTCCGTCTTGATCTTTTGATCCCAATGTACACATAAGTAAGTGTAAATCATTAAATACCTATTCATTCCAAATAAAAAACATGCATGGCAATCAGTCAGATATGTACGGATCTGGATTCACGTCCAAAATTTTCATTAAAAAAGGCTCTAATAGTCTAGACTAAGGTTTCAAAATGGCCCTTCGCGACTATTTAAAGTTATCTTGCAAATTATATGGAGAACATCGCAGCCCAAAAATGGCAAAATGCGTCAAAATTGGGTTTCCGGGGGCTTTATCTCAAACATCATCAACGGATTTATGTGGTTACCAACATTCCTGTGCAGGTGCAGGTATACATCGTATACAAGTATTAATTATCGCACATTATTCTTTATATAGTAATAATCAATAAAACAACTATCATGTTGAACAGAAATTATTTAGAAAACATAAATTATGTGGAATGCATAATTATATACGACCCCGAGTATACTTCATCATTGCAAATTCACTGAAAACCGGCCCTGAAACCGGGAAGCTGAAATATTAACGACCATAAGACGGTTTCGTAAAACTTTATACTTCTTGAAGTTAAATTAGAACTACCCCACGACGGTCATGACGTCAAAAAAGACGAAATATCGAACTTCCTCCACCTCTCACTAATTTGGAAATACTCACCAGAACGTGATCATCACTGTGGGTATCACCCCAAAGTTGTTGTATTTCCCGCCATCTATCGTTCACATTTATTCCTTTAAAAATAATGATAATATTTATTTAGCCTTTGTTCAGTTCGTCCCACTGGTTCGTCCCAGCCCCAGTGCCGGCATCCATTTTGTCCCCGTACTAATGACGTCCTATAGAATTAATTTTTCGTCCTTGTTTTTTAAGAAAAGCTAACAAGCATTTGAACTGCAACTAACTAGCCATATAATAACTGTAAGTATAATAATATGATGTCCCAATTCACGTAGCATAAATTTCCAGAGGATAATTTACAGCCGGTTAACGTTTGAAGAAAGTTCGGCGCCAATTTTTTAGTCTCGAGCTGTATGACAAGTATACTAGCCGACGGTTTTAGAAAATAAACTATAAAACAAAGTAGCCGTAAAATGAAAATGAGGAATCGAAGGTATGGATTAGACGGCCGTGTTGTGGTATTTCGATTTTATTGCAAAATCATCATCAGAACTGATGAGTGATGACTATAAGTTAGTCTGATGATGATTTTGCAATAAAGTCAAAATACCACAACCGTGTCATTGTCTACTATTATTTAATTACTCTAAATTGTTCCAGGCATATCTTGGATTTCCAACCGAAAATGTTATTTTTCGGAATTTGTGCTGTCATTTAGTTGTAGGAAGTGGTGATGTTTGTTCAGGCTGTTTTCACCTGAGGGTTTTATAAGTGTGTGAACAGACAAAGAGGTCGGAGTCGTTATACATTTTATTCATTGCATAACTAATAGCCAGACGCAATGATAGAATTTAACGTGAAAGTTCAATTGGAAAGATGATGTAGTTTTGTAGACAAAAACAAGTCCTATATATGCATGTACTCCAGTACGTCACCTTCCAGTTGCAGTCGATACAATAATGAAGAGCCATCAACCATATCAAGCATTGCTCCAGATTTGCCTCTTTGAAAGACCTATATGTGGTAAAAAATTAATTTCTAGCAGAAGACAAATTACTGTTTGATGATTTGACTTCGCGATCACCAGCCGCAAACTGGAGTAAAAATAATGAGCTTTGGTACGTGACGTCACAGTTCGTACTTATCCCGACCCATATGCAGACGTTGTTCACATGAGCCCGGGTGTAAAAATTTATTTTGAAGCATATTGAAATAAGTCTTTTTGAAACAGAACAAGCACATGCTATTGTCAGTATGACTACACGACTACCAGAAATTCCAGAATCCTGTTATTTACCTCAAAGTCCATTTTACGCTTCGTTAAATCTCGATAACTGGGCTCATGTGAACAACCCCTCAGGTTGGATCATAATAATCGGCAATAGTAACATTTTAACAATTAAATTGCCGAAAAATTTCTTTCGTTTAAATTATCACGGCAGCCTATCTTCGGGTATTGCGGGTGTTGGAAATTCGCCAGATCGTTACAAAGTTCAAAAATTCATAATTATATATACATGCATGCATTAACATTATAAACAAGTTATCCAGTTATATCTAGCTTATGAATCCACAACCAATTTGATTGAAACTTTGTTTATGAAAGGCATGTAATTTAATTATGAATTTTTGAACTTCGTAACGAACTTGCGAATTTCCGAACGACGTTCCAAGTACTATATATGTGTGTAAAGACAGTAAAGATTTTCAGTAAGCATGCCATAGCTAGATCGCTTAATTGGGGGGATGTAAATTCATAGTGCGCTTTCCATTACGCGGCCAAAATGGTCAGACCAGTCATATTTTAAATTGAAATAGAGCATTTCGTTAAGAATATAGCGATAAAACTATATTTCTCGTGCTAGGCAGATGTAAATAACGATATACTTGAATGCAGGGTTCTTGAAATACTCTAAAATACCAGTAATCTGACTGTACCGAAATACAACAGGACCGGTCTGGCCGTTTTTTCCGTATAAAGGAAAGCGCCCTATATATTTATGTTTATACATGCATATCATAAAATTATATAGGAACATAGCGTACAAAAGAAATCAGTCGGGCATATGGATATACCCTTTCTCCCCAATTATAAGCTTCTATAGCTACGGCTTCTACGGCTCTGTTCGAAAGCGACGGTAATTATGTTACGAAAACTTGGAACGGCAGGGTGCATGGTGAACGTAGAGCTGAAGCCCGCGTCACCCGAATCTATTCACATTTTTCTGGGTAAATGCGCCTATTCTAACAACGTTTTCATCACAATTAAGAGTATATGTATAAATTTCAGTTTTTCAACAAATTTTTCACTTTCAAACAATATACGTTTCGTCACAAAAGTATAACTTAAATCGCTGAAATAAACGAAAAGTTCGATCGATTGGTTTGAACGAATCATAACTTCGAGAGAATGTTTCTTAACAGGAAATGGACGTAAAATTTTGGCTCTAACGATTTGGGACATTTTGTTTCGTAGGTAGCGTTACAGTTTTTTCAAGTTCAATAGTCAGTTATACGTCATCATTGCAAATACCAAATACGTGCATGGTTATGGTATGCCTTCAAACTATATATAGTGATCGATAATATTGTAGTTCGTCATGCCAAATTCCAATATATAATGCCAGTGCATGGTATATAGCAACATTTACGTAGCTTACTAAGAGGTGTTATTACACGAAAGATTATTTTCTCAGCATTCCTACCTGCTCGTCGTATATGCCAATGGCAGCTTCATGTTCACCCTTAAAATGTTCAATAAAGCATATCGTTAGTCATTGAAATGTATGTCAATGGAAAATGGGCCAAAAATTACCTTCTCTATATGGTAAAGTGCCCAATGCCAATAGTTATGACAAGCTAGCATCTCCCCTCTCTAAAAAGCGAGGTTGACATATTGTTTCTTAAAATTTCATACAATTCATGGAGTTAACAACAAAAATTAGATTTTAGTGAACAATATACGCATGATAAAAGATTGCAGCATCAGAAATATGCTTACCGTCCAATAATTTTCAGTATCTTTCAAAAATGTGACTCCCTCATCATATCTCCCTTCCATCTCTAAGACGTGACATAAAGCGTGAGTCGACCAACAATCGTACGGATTTAAATCCAGTCCCTGCATAGAAGAGAAAAAAACTCTATCTAAACTTTATCTATACTTTAGAAGAAAGAAAGGGATATGCAGCCATAAATCGCCAATGAAGATTATAATTTTTGCCATGTACCTGTTTGGCATGTTTTTCAGCTTCATTGTAAAAGTTGGTTTCCACCAACCCAAAAGCGTACATTCCATGCAGAAACCTAAAACACATAAATGCGAATTTGAGAAATGATGTGAACAATAATATTACCTTTTACGACGTTGCAATACATGACTGGTGATAGCGAGAAGATTAATAATTTAAATCCCAAAAGCAAACTTTTATTGCAATGCCTATACCTTGCAATCGCCAGTCTTCTACATGCAACTTCAAAATGGTGCATTTAAAACGCACAGTGCTTTTATTTATAGGTAAAATAAAGAGGAGAACACTTAACTTTCTAGAACACTTAACTAAAAATATTGAATTGTACAAAGCCTCCGTCTGACATAGCAACCCAATTTTTGCAGGGGTTTAGCCCCATTCAAATAAACCCGCGTTGTTCCAAGCAAAAATGTAGAAGTGTATAATGCATTGAGTTAGAACAGTGTAATTAAAGAAAATTTGGTAGGAACCTATAAAAATAACCAGTATATTCCTAGGATTTATAAAAATAACCACTATATTCCTTGAATCTATATTGCCTCGTGCTCTACTCAAACCGATGAAAACTAGGCAACAAACCGTTTGCAAATGTTCCCCTGTGTACATGGACAAATTGTACCATGAACATAATGAAAATTACGTTAATTTCCCTACCCATAAAGCGGAATTGTATCATTCCAATTTGGAAGTACTCTTGCGATGGAGTCCCGCATTTGATCTTGATATCCCAGATAGAAGTATGAATCATGTGCAAACTTCAACGCCGTGACGTCAGTAGGGTACTCGGTTAAGATTTCCTCCCACGTATCCAAAGCTTTTACAACAAATCTGAGAAGAAAATTAGTCAACAAGCTGCATCGGCAGGGCAATTAAAATAGCACAGGAAGATAGAGGGGGATACAGGGAGATACTAAAGTGAGGTGCGTATCTTTTATGATGTTGTACAGCGACAATTTTTGTTATTATTTACACAAGCGCTGGAAATGAGCTAACATGCAATCTGATCGGCTCTCTATTAGACAGATCTTAGCTGTCTAGTAGAGAAACGTAAACAAAATGGCGGCGAGATTTGGGGAGTTAAGTGACGATTAAATTCAAATTTTCCTTGATAAAAGTACGCCAACATGCACCGAGAGGGTGACCAAACTTTGAAACAAAAGTATTCAACGGTGGTTAAAAACTATAGGTTTACAAAACATACGGTTTTGTTTCTGTGTTTTTTCCGTATTAAAACGTTCAAAAAAACCCGATTGTATTCACTATTTTTCAAATTACGAATAAATTTGAAAGTTGTTTTTATCCAGCGCTTGTGTATATAATAACAGTTATTCTACTCACTCTCGTCGTATATGACTAATAGCTAACTCAGCGCTGCGCGCCTCGTCGGCTATCAGCACATATACGACTCGAGTTCGCAGAATAACTGTTATCGCTCTCGTTTCGCCTTCTGTGGGTTAAGAGTTAAAGTAATATATACACGTGGTTCATCTGTACGTATATGGCTGTGAGATACGTAAATAACGAAGTGACACCGGATGCGATTCATCACTAAGATTATGGTAATTTGGCTAACTTATTCATTTTACACAGGCTTTTATAGGATAATTATGAATAAAACAAAAAAATTAAGTTCACAGACAGCATAGGACAACCCAAAACTAACCAGAGTTTTGCTCGAGCCACTGGGCTATATAATTCCTGGAGGACTTGTTCTTGACAAAAAAAGTGAAGCAAGAAACATGGCGGATTTTTTCGTGCTGACGCCAGATATGGTCCGAAGAGGCCATGGCAATGAACACTGACAACCGCGATACAATGCTTCAGGCGCACTCCTTCACCCTCCGGGAGTTCTCGAAATATATTTTTATTTTTCTTGTGATTTTTTCCGTATTTTTCCACGGGAATCTTGATATTTTTCTACCAATTTTTTCGACGTGAAGGAACAACTGCCTTTTTTTCAGTTTGTGACAGACTCCGACTCGTACTCAGTGGCGTACGGGAGACGATAATTGGGGGGGGGGGTACATATTCATATATTCATGCTAAAAGACCTGTAAACTCAATGGATTTCAAAAGAAATTAATCTTGCACAACATGAATATTAGATATTATGTATGAATATGTGCCACCCCAATTATCGTCGTACTTGTAAGATTCACATTTGTTTGGCATTTTACTACTACTTGCACAAAAGATGTACATAACACATCTATTTTTTCCGAGCTTCAGGATTATATCAGAATTTATTTACATAAAGTGTTTTTTAATACGTGATTTGTCAAAATCATGAAGGTGGAAGAGATTTATTTACTAAAACTTATACAACTTAAAAGTACTGGAGTCAACAACAACAAACAACTACATGACACAAAACTTTTATATTGCTGGTGTTCATGTGATCATGACACGTGTTCATCGAGAGACTGACGTCATCTGAATATTAATGTTTATCTTAACATGACTAGTAAGTACAGTTGTTTTGCGATCATTTTAATTTTTTTCTGCCAAAATTATATATTTTAACATCTAGTTGCAAGATCCTTGCACTTGCCAGGCATTTGCACCATTTTATTGAACCCTGCATTCATTCTCTCTCGCCTTCTCTCCTCTCCCACCCGCTGTTCCGCCGTCCGTGCTTCGATTTCCTGCGGTTTTAAACCCTTTATAAACCCGACGAAAACCTCTGCGGAGGAGAGAGTGTCGGTGCAATGCCCTTGTAACTGAGCCTGAATTTGAGGTGGGTATAATCCACTCGAAATTAAGACCCTTTGAACCTCTAGAATTTACCTGCATCGAGTCAAGTGCCACAAATCATATTATATTCATAGTCAAATTAGGAGTGACTACAAAGCATACCCGATCCTAAATCTGTTTTCATGAAATATGATATTAAATTTCATGTTCAAATTCCTTCGGCTTCGCGATTTTGGTTTCGCCAACGATTTCAAATGTTATCCTTAATTAAATACCGCGGTTTTAGTAATCGTTTGCTATATTTAAAGCACGAGAATTACTCTAGGCGGCAGCCCGGTCATCGCGTTTTCGTCATACTATATGTCTATATTAATTATATACATAAGATAGTGTGACGTAACCGCGTTGACCCCTATGGAATGACATGAAATGAAATTAACAAATGGTAAAAAATGTCGTCAAAAATTGAGAATTCGCAAAGTTTTTTAAAAATTTAAAAACAGGGGGGGGGGAGTGATGGTTGGAGCGGACTCAAAATTCTGACCAAATTTTTCGGACCTTATCTGGCGTCAGCACGAAAAATCCGCCATGTTTCTTACTTCAGTTTTAAATCCAAAACATTAGGATCCTCTGCACCTGCGGTTTATCAGCATGCAACAATGTTGTGCTGCCATCATTGTTCATACTTTTCAACAACATTGAACAATATTGTTGAAACTGAATCGCGTGTAACAACATTGAATCGGGTGTAACAACATTGAACAATATTGTTGAAACTGAATCGGGTGTAACAATATTGTTGATTGTTGATAACAACTCTGAACAATGTGGGCAGCACAACATTGCTCCATCCTGTTCATATCAATATTGCATCAACCTGATCGTTTTTAGGCGTGTAGTATATTTCATTTCCATACCCCTGGGACCACGCCTGTATTGCGGCTGCGTGTTTTCTTTCTCGTTTGGTTAACGATGTATTCTTTTCAACAATTGCCTTCATTTCATCTATAGATTGTCTTAGGCTTGTATCTTTCCAAATGTTTGTCCCAGTTCCAATAAGTTCCAGGCCATTTTTTAATACATGTGCCATTACTGTAGAAAAAGCACCGTAGAACTATTTAATATTGCCATAGGTGACTGTAAATTTCATATGGTAGAAATAAAATGCTGATAATGGCCGCTGCCCGCCACACACGAAAGTAACTTGCTGAGCTAAAGCCGTTTTCCACTAGCGATATTTTTCGCGCGAAGTGACTTTATTCTTTTGTATTTGAGCAATTTGTTCCAGATGGTTGCAGTTGAGAGCTTTGAAACAAAAGTAAAATGTCGCTTCGCGCGAAAATAACCGCTAGTAGTCGAAAACCGGCTAAATAACAGCCACGCGAGGTCTTTAGCTCAGCTACTATAGCATTCGTGTGCGGCGGGATTAACGAAAACTTTTATACAGGATGCGTTTCACATTGTTTTAGTGCTTCTATATATTAATAAGAATTGTGAAATACATGAAAAATTTTCTGTATAAGTAAAAATTCAAAAATTAAAATCAGCTTGCGAACGATATTAAAATATTGGCCCGATTTATACAAGAGACGGATTATCCGTCTGGACGAATGATCCGTTTGACATATCATTCGCCTGAGTATAAACACACGACAAACTATCAATATACGAACTGTGTAGACGAATATTGTGCTGATCCCTCAGAACCCTTGGCTACCCCGGGGCCCCTTCATCAGCCCTGTAACCAAACGACTTCCGAGTAGTTTTAGAAATTTTTTAATAACAAAAAAAAAAAAAAAAAAACAATTCTACAGAGTCTTTGTAAAAAACTAGTGCTTCTCTCGTCGAAAAACAAACCAGAAAAAACTCCCAAGTCCTCAGCGCCCCCCCCCCCATATCCCGCAGGACAACCAATGAGGGGGCAGATTGCTCTTAGAGCGCGGGAAAAATCCGGCAGGCGGCCAGAACACTCCTCGCCTGGTAAATTATTACCACTGCAACAACATAACAGAAATAACATTAATATTATAATCGTGTCCGTAGATATTAGTTATATTACTGTTCCTTATCTAGTTCATTTTAGGCGACCTTTGTGACAGGTCGGTTATAACATCGCTTGGATCCCCCTCTTGCTGTCGTCATTTCGATCTTCCTGACATTACCATCTTCGCTTGGGAATACTTTGGTGACCATTGCGATTGGCCACTCGTTCCTAGTGATCTCTCTATCTTTTAAAAGAACCAGATCCCCTAGTCGCAGATTCGGTTGGCTTTGGGTCCACTTTCGTCTTATTGGAAGTAAAAACGCATCAGCACTCCAAGTAAACTATTGGCGAGGTTTGGGCCAAGAAGGAGGATCTTGTTAAGCGAGATACCTTCTACTTCTCGATGCGTCGAGTCGAACACTACGCGTATTTTGTCGGGCTTTTGTTGATGGTATACGCCAAAGCGAGGCAAGTACCACCTCGGCTGTGATGTGTTCACTTCGTTTGCAGGTACTCGTTGTTGTCTAAGAGCGTAGTTGTTGTCTAAGATCTTCTGCATGAAGGAGAAGTAGTGGGTTTTCATAGTTTTCAAGTAGTGGATTTGAGTCATTTCAGCGCTTCGTTGTAACTATCTGGTAGCTGTGCGACTTGATTTCGGAAGGGCAATAGACAGTCCAATTACCGGATTCGCTCTTCTTCACTTTGGCATTCATTACGTCGATGAAGTTTCGATCCTCTACGGAAGTCCCAGGCTGATTGTCCAAATCCTTTCGTTGGAATACATCGGAAGCGAGGCCGTCTTCGAACCTGCCGTGTATGAAGCGTTCTCGGTTGTCGGTACTGTGGATCCGATCGGAATCGCATGCAGCGTTAACTTCGAATTTATTAGAGCAGGGTTCGAAGATCGATTTTCGTGTCACGTTCGTGGCAAAGGTGGAGGACCCCGTGGGTTGGTGCACGCCGTCGAGACAAGCATTTCCCAGAATGACCCAGCCTAGATCCAATCGTTGTGCCCAAGGTACGTTTTCTCTCCCATTTCTTGACTCTCTCACTTTGTGTAGCGGAGGAACGTCTCTTCCGATGAGTAAAAGTATACTAGCGTCTTCGTCGACCTCGGGGATGTGTTTGGCGATTAGGCGGAGGTGTGGGTAGGCTCTGGCGATATCTGGTGTGGGAATTTCGTTCTTATTGTCCGGAATCGCAGTACATTCGATAATGGTCGGGAGGGGGTAACGTTTCGACTCATCAGTGGATTCAATAAAGAAGTCCTTGGCATGCCGACCTTCGGTAAGCGTGGTCGCCGCACATGTCTTCAGTGTGTAAGGATGTCGTGCCCCGTTTTTTCCAAGAAGATTGAACAGTTCCGGTTTGGCCAAGGAGCAATTGCTTTGATCGTCGATTACGACGTATGTTTTGATCTTTCTTTCCGGGTGTTTTTATGCTAAAGACATTTGCCAGGCATATTTTCGAGCAGGATCTTCCTCCAGGTTTATCGGCACAGATCTTGGTGCAGGAGGTGGTTATGTTATTGTGTGGTTCTTGGTCGTCTTCTCTCTTCTCCTCGCCATCGTCCCTTTGGGGGTTGAGAGGTTTAGGAGGGCGGTCCACATGCAATGCTGCTAAGTGTTTGTCACTGTCACACTCAGAACATTTTACAGTGAATTTGCAATTTTTCGCCATGTAAGAGACTGATGCGAGGCAACGGAAACAAAGGCGGTGTTTTTAACGAGACTTTTCTGTTCCTCTATCGACTTTGCTCGAAAGACACGACACGATGCGAGCGGGTGAGGCTTCCCATGCAGAATACATTCGTCAGGGTTGTAGGGTTTGACGCCGCGTGGTCTTGGTTGTTCTTTTTCACGTCGGTTTTAAAGGATTGCCTGGGTTTGTTGCGAGGAAGGGAGAGGTGCTCGTTTGTAGAATGCTCGATCATGAGGTTGGGGTTGTTCCTCTCCAGGGAAACGTCCTGTGCGAATTTGGAGGACTCGGAGAACGGTGGGTAATCGGAGTGTTCTTCCCTTTTGTATCCGAGGCGTGTCTTTGCCACCGCTTTGGACATCGCTGGGGAGTTTCTCTACGATGGGCCTTAGGAAAATGGTTCATCGCTTTTTGGCACACTGTGGCTGAGTAAAAGGTCGCCGAATTCCTGGAGTTTTTATTGGCCTAGTTTGGTCCAAACTTCTGACACACCCTTGGTCGGGTTTTTGTATGTAGGCGTTATGTAGTTTTTGGACGAGCTTCTTGGACTCTTTGCTGGTATATTCGGATAAAAGCGAGAGCTCCTCTTAGGGTGTAATGCTTATGTCCTTAAGCATAGTTTTAAAGGATGTTTTCCACGTGTGGAAATTCTGTGGATCGTCGTCAAATTTCTCGACTCTTCTGCTTTGGACTTCTCTTCGTGCCATAAATTCTATGTAAGATTTCACGACGTTTTGATCGGACCCAGTTGTGGTTGGGCAGTCTTTGGGTGTGAAAGGTGACGATGTTGGGTTGAGGTTAGACTGCATTTGTTGTGTACTCCCTGAATCGTGATTGATCGGTTCCGTGTCACCAATTTGTTGTTGAGGGTATTGGCTATCAATGAATTGTTGTACGCGGTTTTTGGGATTCTCTGCTGGCAGGTCTATGAGGTTTTGCTCATGGATAACATCCAGATCGAGTTCGTCATCGATGGCTCTTGCCTTCGCGATGGCGATCGCTGCGTCGTCTTCTAGGCGTAGCGCTGCTAAGCGGGTAGCTTATGCTTTGCTAGAGCGAGTCTTCGCGTTGAGTGTTGAGAGCCGATTGTGGTTCTTCAAGGATGCGCCTTTTGTAAATCTCGGCGAACTTGTAAATCTTTATGTCGAACATTACTGCCCTCTTAAGGCTAATTTCCACTCCGGAAAACGAGCAGCGGATCGGATCGGATTTTCAAGTTTTGATTGTTCCATCTGGCTAGTATTTTCGATTGATTTCTCCAAAGGTTTCGCGTTTCGTCGCGGCTGTCGCGGCCTGTCGCTGGTCGAGGCTATTTCGATCTCGTTATCATTCCCCCCGGGATTTACATCGGGTTCGAATATAGTGTTATTTTCGCTATATGCTATATTTCGTCCGTTTTCGTTGGTTTTTGTCGCGTTATCGATCTGGTTTTCGCTTACGTGTCCTTTTGTTATGATATTAAATTATACACTTTCCGCGAGTGTACGGTCATCTCATGTCTGTTGTAGTTGGCAAATATGACATACATACATACATACATACATACATATGCTTTATTTAAACACGGAAAAAAACCATCAGTACATTTGATTCCTAAATATTTACAGTCTAATTTATATATATATAAAGTAACGTGAGAGTACTGTTCTACATGGTTGCCGTGTGGGAGTCGGTTGAACTAGAATATAATGATTCCAGTCTACTTTTAAAACAGGTTATAGTGACGAGACAAAATCGCGTGTTTAGAGAGCGCGCATGAATTGGGAAATTATTCATGTGGTAAGAAGGGTGCACAAGAATTTATGAATAATTTTTCGTAGTGATGATGCGTGGAGACGAACCCATTCAAATTCATCTGAATTGACATATTGTCGTGTTGTCGTGTTGACGGATAATCCGTCTGTTTGCCTGTGATTACACACAAAACGAACTATCTTTCGCTTGCCCAAGTTGGTCTAGATAACTGATCCGTCTTTGGTATAAACGGGCCTTTAAGGTATTTTTGATTGATACCATGAAAATGCGTTAAACGTTATCCCCACTTGAGTTTTCGCTTAGGATTTATGATACAAGTCTACTGTTAAATTTCGTGATAGTCAAAAATTGGTACAAACCAAAACTGGAGTCAGCTTCAAGCAATTCCTTAAGTGAAGACTCGATCCCATTGACATTAAGATCATCGTACCAACCAACATACTAAAATACATTAAACCATACATGTCAATTAATAATGGTTAATGCCAAAATCATACAATTTAGCGAAAAATATCGCTAGTGGAAAACCGGCTTTAAACACACCAAAAATGACACGCGGTAACAATTAGAATTTTGGTGGTAACGATTAGAAAACCAAAAAATAATGAAAAAGTTTACTTTTAAAAGGTAGCCGCCCTGTGGCTAAATGGATAAAGTATCTGACTACGGATCAGAAGATTCCAGGTTCGAAACCTTGCGTGGTCGTGGTCTGATTTACAGTTTTACCGACCGCATCCTTCAATGAAACATAAAAACAATACTTGTTCTCAATCACAGGAGGCGTGTGTGATACCCAATTGTGTCGAGGTTTCTCAAATTTTGGACCGCAACCGTTAAGTCAACCGACCTTTTATCAACTTGATTAGATTAGAAAATGTGCAGAATTTTTATTGAAACTGAGTTTCTCAGCGTTAAAACCTTTATACTCCAAAGCTTTAAAACAAGACGGGTTAGCTCAGTCGGCAGAGCGTACAGCATGAAAAAGTATACTTTTAAATAGTAGCGGCCCTGTGGCCAAATGGATAAGGTGTCTGACTACGGATCAGAAGATTCCAGGTTCGAATCCTTGCGGGGTCGACTTCATTAGATGAGAAAGAGTGGAAAGGTTTAATAGAAATTGAGTTTCCCAGCGTTTAAAACCTTTATACTCCAAGGCTTTAAAAAGAGGCCGGTTAGCTCAGTCGGCAGAGCGCAGTGCTTAATAACGCTAAGGTCATAAGTCTCACACCGGCCAACCTGCTATTACCAGGTCTTTATTGTGGATTGCGTGAATTTTGGTGGTAACGATTAGAAAACCAAACAAAAATGAAAAAGTATACTTTTAAAACGTAGTCGCCCTGTGGCCAAAGAGATAAGGTGTTTGACAACGGATCAGAAGATTCCAGCTTCGAATCCTGGCGGGGTCGATTTTGATTTACAGTTTTACCGACCACATCCTTCAATGAAACATAAAAACGATACTTGTTCTCAATGACAGGAGGCGTGTGTGATACTCAATCGTTGGTCATTTAGAGTTTCCAACATATATATGGAATAATGATTATTTGCAAGATTAGTTGGAGGATTCTTGTAGGCCTCATGGCCTAATGGATAAGGCGTCTCACTTCGGATGAGAAAATTCCAGGTTCGAGTCCTGGTGGGGTCGAGGTTTATCAAATTTTGGAGCGGAATCGTTAAGTCAACTGATCGAAAATTTTAATAGAAATTGACTTTGCAAGCGTTAAAACCTTTATACTCCAAAGCTTTAAAACAAGGCCGGTTAGCTCAGTCGGCAGAGCGTGGTGCTAATAACGCTAAGGTCGTGAGTTCGATCCTCACACCGGCCAACCTACTATTACCAGATCTTTATTGTGGATTCCTAGAATTTTGGCGGTAACAAATATAAAACCAAACAAGAAGGAAAAAGTATACTTTTAAATGGTAGCGGCCCTGTGGCCAAATGGATAAGGCGTCTGACTACGGATCAGAAGATTCCAGGTTCGAATCCTGGCGGGGTCGACTTCATTAGATGAGAAAGAGTGGAAAGGTTTAATAGAAATTGAGTTTCCCAGCGTTTAAAACCTTTATACTCCAAGCTTTAAAAAGAGGCCGGTTAGCTCAGTCGGCAGAGCGCAGTGCTTAATAACGCTAAGGTCATAAGTCTCACACCGGCCAACCTGCTATTACCAGGTCTTTATTGTGGATTGCTTGAATTTTGGTGGTAACGATTAGAAAACCAAACAAGAATGAAAAAGTATACTTTTAAAACGTAGCCGCCCTGTGGCCAAAGAGATAAGGTGTCTGGCAACGGATCAGAAGATTCCAGGTTCGAGTCCTGGCGGGGTCGATTTTGATTTACAGTTTTACCGACCACATCCTTCAATGAAACATAAAAACGATACTTGTTCTCAATGACAGGAGGCGTGTGTACTCAATCGTTGGTATTTAGAGTTTCCAACATATATATGGAATAAATTATTTGCAAGATTAGTTGGAGGATTCTTGTAGGCCTCATGGCCTAATGGATAAGGCGTCTCACTTCGGATGAGAAAATTCCAGGTTCGAGTCCTGGTGGGGTCGAGGTTTATCAAATTTTGGAGCGGAATCGTTAAGTCAACTGATCGAAAATTTTAATAGAAATTGACTTTGCAAGCGTTAAAACCTTTATACTCCAAAGCTTTAAAACAAGGCCGGTTAGCTCAGTCGGCAGAGCGTGGTGCTAATAACGCTAAGGTCGTGAGTTCGATCCTCACACCGGCCAACCTACTATTACCAGATCTTTATTGTGGATTCCTAGAATTTTGGCGGTCAAATATAAAAACCAACAAGAAGGAAAAAGTATACTTTTAAATGGTAGCGGCCCTGTGGCCAAATGGATAAGGCGTCTGACTACGGATCAGAAGATTCCAGGTTCGAATCCTGGCGGCGGTCGACTTCATTAGATGAGAAAGAGTGGAAAGGTTTAATAGAAATTGAGTTTCCAGCGTTTAAAACCTTTATACTCCAAGCTTTAAAAAGAGGCCGGTTAGCTCAGTCGGCAGAGCGCAGTGCTTAATAACGCTAAGGTCATAAGTCTCACACCGGCCAACCTGCTATTACCAGGTCTTTATTGTGGATTGCTTGAATTTTGGTGGTAACGATTACAAAACCAAACAAGAATGAAAAAGTATACTTTTAAAACGTAGCCGCCCTGTGGCCAAAGAGATAAGGTGTTTGACAACGGATCAGAAGATTCCAGTTCGATCCTGGCGGGGTCGATTTTGATTTACAGTTTTACCGACCACATCCTTCAATGAAACATAAAAACGATACTTTTTCAATGACAGGAGGCGTGTGTGATACTCAATCGTTGGTATTTAGAGTTTCCAACATATATATGGAATAATGATTATTTGCAAGATTAGTTGGAGGATTCTTGTAGGCCTCATGGCCTAATGGATAAGGCGTCTCACTTCGGATGAGAAAATTCCAGGTTCGAGTCCTGGTGGGGTCGAGGTTTATCAAATTTTGGAGCGGAATCGTTAAGTCAACTGATCGAAAATTTTAAAAGAAATTGACTTTGCAAGCGTTAAAACCTTTATACTCGAAAGCTTTAAAACAAGGCCGGTTAGCTCAGTCGGCAGAGCGTGGTGCTAATAACGCTAAGGTCGTGAGTTCGATCCTCACACCGGCCAACCTACTATTACCAGATCTTTATTGTGGATTCCTAGAATTTTGGCGGTAACAAATATAAAACCAAACAAGAAGGAAAAAGTATACTTTTAAATGGTAGCGGCCCTGTGGCCAAATGGATAAGGCGTCTGACTACGGATCAGAAGATTCCAGGTTCGAATCCTGGCGGGGTCGACTTCATTAGATGAGAAAGAGTGGAAAGGTTTAATAGAAATTGAGTTTCCCAGCGTTTAAAACCTTTATACTCCAAGGCTTTAAAAGAGGCCGGTTAGCTCAGTCGGCAGAGCGCAGTGCTTAATAACGCTAAGGTCATAAGTCTCACACCGGCCAACCTGCTATTACCAGGTCTTTATTGTGGATTGCTTGAATTTTGGTGGTAACGATTAGAAAACCAAAAAGAATGAAAAAGTATACTTTTAAAACGTAGCCGCCCTGTGGCCAAAGAGATAAGGTGTCTGCAACGGATCAGAAGATTCCAGGTTCGAGTCCTGGCGGGGTCGATTTTGATTTACAGTTTTACCGACCACATCCTTCAATGAAACATAAAAACGATACTTGTTCTCAATGACAGGAGGCGTGTTTGATACTCAATCGTTGGTATTTAGAGTTTCCAACATATATATGGAATAATGATTATTTGCAAGATTAGTTGGAGGTTTCTTGTAGGCCTCATGGCCTAATGGATAAGGCGTCTCACTTCGGATGAGAAAATTCCAGGTTCGAGTCCTGGTGGGGTCGAGGTTTATCAAATTTTGGAGCGGAATCGTTAAGTCTCAACTGATCGAAAATTTTAATGAAATTGACTTTGCAAGCGTTAAAACCTTTATACTCCAAAGCTTTAAAACAAGGCCGGTTAGCTCAGTCGGCAGAGCGTGGTGCTAATAACGCTAAGGTCGTGAGTTCGATCCTCACACCGGCCAACCTACTATTACCATATCTTTATTGTGGATTCCTAGAATTTTGGCGGTAACAAATATAAAACCAAACAAGAAGGAAAAAGTATACTTTTAAATGGTAGCGGCCCTGTGGCCAAATGGATAAGGCGTCTGACTACGGATCACAAGATTACAGGTTCGAATCCTGGCGGGGTCGACTTCATTAGATGAAAAAGAGTGGAAAGGTTTAATAAAAATTGAGTTTCCCAAAGCGTTTAAAACCTTTATACTCAAAGGCTTTAAAAAGAGGCCGGTTAGCTCAGTCGGCAGAGCGCAGTGCTTAATAACGCTAAGGTCATAAGTCTCACACCGGCCAACCTGCTATTACCAGGTCTTTATTGTGGATTGCTTGAATTTTGGTGGTAACGATTAGAAAACCAAACAAGAATGAAAAAGTATACTTTTAAAACGTAGCCGCCCTGTGGCCAAAGAGATAAGGTGTCTGACAACGGATCAGAAGATTCCAGGTTCGAGTCCTGGCGGGGTCGATTTTGATTTACAGTTTTACCGACCACATCCTTCAATGAAACATAAAAACGATACTTGTTCTCAATGACAGGAGGCGTGTGTGATACTCAATCGTTGGTCATTTAGAGTTTCCAACATATATATGGAATAATGATTATTTGCAAGATTAGTTGGAGGATTCTTGTAGGCCTCATGGCCTAATGGATAAGGCGTCTCACTTCGGATGAGAAAATTCCAGGTTCGAGTCCTGGTGGGGTCGAGGTTTATCAAATTTGGAGCGGAATCGTTAAGTCAACTGATCGAAAATTTTAAGAAATTGACTTTGCAAGCGTTAAAACCTTTATACTCCAAAGCTTTAAAACAAGGCCGGTTAGCTCAGTCGGCAGA